AACCCCCATGCCACGTCTATAACCTCGTCAAGATGCTTTTGATTATCTGTTGTAGCGAGGAAAATAAGAACCTCTGTGTTGTTCTCTCTCTCTCTCGCATCTGCTATGTTCCACTAGCCGACTGTCCTCCAACTGTGGTCGCGCCACGTGGCCCACAAGAGCCGCCCTTTTCATCGTGTCTTGCTCAGGTTAGGGGGTATCTTTCTTTAGGCGGGAGGTTATTGTGAATTGTGCCTCTTGTGAGAGACGAATTATGCTGAGCAATCATCTGAGACGGCGCTTCCTAAAACGCTGCTTATCGACTCCCGATGGCAGGTTTCCTTTTGGGTAACATTAGACCTGGGATGCGCCTGAGCAAGAGTAGACTTGATTTTACAGCATACAATGCTAAATTGCCTTAGAGCGGGTGGGAGAGGGGCGCAAACAGAACAGCAACAAAGAGATGAAATTCATATCTGCTATAAGACCATTTTTATCTACGATCCTCATGATGACTATGCGTAAATTTCACTCTTCAAATGTGTACATGTGTATATTCTACGTACTGTTTTATGTATTCATGTTGACTATATTTGCACACAGTTTCCAATAGGGGTCTTCGAAAGCATCGCCTACTACCCTATATATACTTATTTTACTGCTTATTATGCACTTATTCACTTTTTTAAATCTTTTTTTGCTGCCGTAGTTTTCTGTCAGCAGACCCTGGCATGGATCAGGCTCTTCATTCCTTGGACAATGACGTTAAGCCTCGCGTCATGCAGACGTCACCTTTTCGACCTCCACTTGCCGAACTGCCTCTGGTGAACCACGCCCCCGAGGCCGCTCCTACCTCTACCGGACTGGGTTCTATCGGTGTCCCGCGGAAAATTGAGCAAACTACTAACCTCTTCGCGGCAGCCATAAGCCCTCCTGGTGCACGCCCACGGCCCTGCTCTCCGGTCTACTCTGGTGGCGATACAATCCTTGGTGACGGTGGTGTTCAAATCTTTAAGGTAAGACGGTGTTTTGCGTTATTTGGAGGTCTAAACATGCCCCACTGTCAGTTCACCTTCCCTTCCCGCGATCACTATGTGAGGCGTAATTGCAGAAACTAAGGTGCAATTGGCCGTTTATATGTTGACTTCCTTGCATGGCTTGCAGCCGTTTAATTAACCTCTTGCATTTGAAACAAGTACTCCAGTTGCCCTTTTGGTACGGTTGCAATCATGTCTAATCAGGTCGGCCTTGATGATATCACCTACTATGCAAGCGAACATGCGAATCCCGGAAGAAGACGACTCGATCGTTGGGACCTGACTTTTATTCGCTTGACGTTTCGAGATTCGTCATCAGAGATATAGTCAGATAGCAGTAGCAGATATGGGTAGCGTATGCACAGGATGTTGTATGTTTGCAGTACTGACTGTATCCTATAAATACTGCAAACTCCTATGCATACGCTACCCTATCTGCTACTGTTCTCTGATTATG